CTACAAGGGTTAGACACTGAATAAATTCCAAGTGCTTGTTACGACACAGACTTGAATAAAAAAACAACTGTTCATGAATTCCTACTGCATTACAGACTGACTCGTCCGAAGTAATTCGTGCAGACAACGTGACGAAAAGTGAATGAGCAAAGGAAGCAGAATCACAAGTTCCTTGTATTCATATCTCCTTTATGCCGCATTAATGAATTACATTTTCTTCATAATTCAGACCATGCTTCTATGTTGTGACGAAACTGATTTCAGCAATTTTTAAATAACATTGATTTGTGTGTTGTAAAGATTACCTATTAATTTTTATTAAAGGAGATAGAAATCTCTAATGATTAGCGCTGTCTGCAAATAGGTACATTCTGTAACCTCCTATTTGATTGACTTATTGAATGTGATACTGATAACTAGGCGTAATTCTTTATTTCACAACTGATTTGTTTGTTTTTCAGAATTGTATGAATCCAATAAAGTCGTCAAAGGTTTGTGATGTTTACGCCGGTCTACAACGTATAGAATTTGTTATTATGGAAGACCATGTTAAAAAAACGGTTTACATGTTCACGTTAACTGTGTTCCGTATTGCCTAGTAACATTTTTATTCAACTAATGAATTAGTGAAATATAAATATAGCAAGTACACTCAGTGTCTTACTTTATAAACCGTGTCCGTATTTATTAATAGTCGATATGACGCTAGAACAAATATAGATAGAGAATAACATGAACTCCTTATAATCCATGGAATGAACAAGTAATAAGATGGATTATGTAATAATTCATTTCACTTTTAAAATTTAGTTACCGATTTATTCCAGCACCCTGTCACTTAATCCTCTGTAATTATGTGACCTCTGCAAATTGTAATCAATTATTACGTAACCCAAGTTTTCAGTTCTTAAATCCACGGATCATTTACAAGCTATAAGATTTTCGCACCACTTATCTGTCTGTGAACTCCAGTCCACTACTACACCACCCATTCTTATTGCGTTATTGACTGTAAAAACAAATGACCTTTGACCTTAAACTGCATATATATATATATATATATATAGTCATTATTTCGATAATGATATTAGAAGACGAAGATTATCAGAACTATGTGATATATTAGCGCAATACATTTCGAACAATCTGGTCACACATATACTTGTTAAGAGCATTTATATATAAAAATAAAAGGTCAACTAGACAGGAAACGGGGTAAGAGGAGATAAGGATAATGATAAGAGTAATAATAATAATAATAATAATGTGAACACAATTTGAAACCTAATCACTCTGGATAATAAGTCAATATTACCAGGGTAGGTTTAAGGTAAGAACAAACTGTTTTTGAACACATAAAGGGGGTTTGAATTTTCGTATGGCTAAGGCTTCAATGAACCTTAGTATACGCCCTTTTACACTTTTATACAGCACTACAAAAGCTGAATTTAGATCAATCTTGTGACCTGTTTCAATTATATGTTTAGCAATAGAGGATGATGGATGTTTATCCTCTGCTCTTATCGGGTCACTTGATTGTATTTGTTTCTGAAGCCATTTGGGTACATGTTCACTCACCCTAATGTTGAGATCACGATTACTCCTCCCTATGTATGTGTGACCACACACACATTTAAATTGGTAAACACAGTGGGATGTGACGCAATCGTTTCCATGTACTTTAGGTTTTGAATGAAGCATGCACCTTGTTCTTTCTTTGATGATGACCTTTGCTGCGCAATAGGTTTTATTGATGACTGATTTAAGTCGTTGTTTCAGTAAAAGGCTATTTGAATCACCTCTGAATGGTAAGGTGATGTAGACAGGCTTTTTCTCTACCGAGGCTATAGTAGGTCTCGCTGAACCATGGACTTTCCATCTATTTATGAATTTCAGAGGATAGCCATTTTCTATTAACGTTTTATTTAACAACTTAACATCATCATCAATGGCGTCATTGGTACAAATACGGTCGAGTCTGTTGAAAAGACACCTTATCAAACCACGTTTGTATTGCACAGGGCAATAACTATAATAACTTAGATATTGACCTGTCCATGTTGGTTTTCTAAAAATAGATCGCTTTACTGAACCATCTTCTCGTCTACTCAGGAGTATATCTAGGAAGGGAAGCTGATCGTTTTTCTCCTCTTCACATGAGAGACTAATATGGTTTTGGAGGGTGTTGAGTTTATTTAATAAACCGTGCATATCCTCTTTTTTCTCACAAACAACTAAGATATCGTCCACATATCTCTTATAAAGTGACATGTTTCCGATTAATTCGTCAGTCTGGTTTTCAACATGTGCCATGAACACATCTGCTAGTAATGGTCCTAGCGGACTACCCATAGCAACTCCATCAATCTGACGAAAATATTCACCTTCAAAAGTGAACTGAACTTTGTCAGTACATAGTAATAGTAAATCTTTAAGAAGTTTTATAGGTACACGTGATTGAAAATTGTTTTTAGATATGTAATCACATAATATATCAATGGTTTTTTTTAAACCCCCTTTATGTGTTCAAAAACAGTTTGTTCTTACCTTAAACCTACCCTGGTAATATTGACTTATTATCCAGAGTGATTAGGTTTCAAATTGTGTTCACATTATTATTATTATTATTACTCTTATCATTATCCTTATCTCCTCTTACCCCGTTTCCTGTCTAGTTGACCTTTTATTTTTATATATAAATGCTCTTAACAAGTATATGTGTGACCAGATTGTTCGAAATGTATTGCGCTAATATATCACATAGTTCTGATAATCTTCGTCTTCTAATATCATTATCGAAATTTATCAAAGGGACTAATTGTTTTAAATAGTCATTATTGATAACCCACGCCATTTCAGTTATTCATATTAAGGTATGTCAACTGTTTCCCACATCACTGTTAAATCCTAATGCATATTTAGTTATAACGAATGCATACCACTGTTAATCAACATTTCTCCTGGTTTCATTTTAATTCATAAGCGGAACTAATCACATGAAATTAAAATCTTAGCTACTGATACGATTTTAATTATAAACGTAATCCGACGAAGGTGAATATGATATGTGGGTGCCTAATCTGCAAGACTGTACGTGGATGTAGGGTTTCTTAATCATTCTTAACTATTACAAACAGTTACACATGAACGTCATTGCTATTCATTCCCATGAAAGTAGGAATAAGATGAAAATTAAAATTATGAAAGTTTATTGAATAATCATTGCTGCTAAAGCAGAAAATCAAGTTTACAAGTTGGTATTAAGAATTCTTAAGTAATAATTGTCCACTTTCTTCTCAACTTCCGTTGAGAAACGTTCACCATACTTCTCAATGATGCGATGCTTATGGATTCTTTGGCTTCGTTGAATACTTATATACACTTCACTTCGTCGTGGTAATGCAGTTAATAAATAATTGTGGAAGTTCTGGGTATTAAGTAACTTCCATCTGCTACAATACCTAAGAAGTTGATGAGCTATGCAGTTAGTATTTCATAATTGATATAGCTGACCTGTAAGATTTCGTCTTTTAACGTAGGCAAGTAGCATGTGACGGCAGGGATATCGGCACATCATAAACGTGCTACAATTGCGTTGACAAATGCTTATATCAACTTCATAACGTCGTCCGCGGTCAACCATAAACAACCAGTCGCCGCTTTCATATTCCACGTAGACAAAACGCATTTGTTTAAGTTCGTATAACAATTTAGATCTTGCGAATGGGGTCAAAATGTTTAGCAGGGGTATAAGACGCTGTGGAGCATTATATTTATAAGATCTTCCGGCTATCACTTGATCTTTGATACTTCTTCTACCTGACGTCATTTCACTCCATTTTAAAGCCTTGTACATACACTTGTACAGACTATCACTTTTGCGTACATATCGTTTAATTTGCCTACTTAGCGATTCAACACGATTATTCGTGCTGTTGCCCAATGTTAAAACATGACCGTAAAAGGCACGCGCCCACATTGTCTTACGTGCCATCCAAAAACGTGACAGGTACTGACCTATCAATCTGTCCCGCCGGTTTATTATTCTGTAATATTGATTAAATCTATTGAATAAACAGATTACAAAAATTACCTTCCAACCGTCTCCGCAGTTACCAATCGAGTTAAGTAGGTTTTCATTATTTTGTCGTTTGTCTAACGGCAATTTTATATCAGTAAACATTGGTGTACCTTTTTCCGGAAAGCGCGAATTACATGAAAGGCGCACAAAATTATGTTTGCATGTCCGTGTGTTATACGGACAGCCGCGCTTTCACATCTTGCGCAATCCATCACAAATGTTTCAGTCAACATTGTATCCCCCATTATCTCTTTGAATTTATCTAGAATCCATATCACATCGGCACGCTTTTCCCTTTGAGTCCACGCAAACATTACAGTTCGACCTCGACGGCAATTATCCGTCACCACTAACTGGAATAAGTAATATCTACATAGTAAAATACAACGATAAACATATTCACTTTTTATTATTAGTATTATACGTAGAATCAATGCACACAACTTCTGGATATTTTCTGTACAGTTGTATTTGGTTAGAACTACTGAAACATATTCTAGTGGCATATCCATTTTCTAAATGTTCCTTCACTTCGCCTTTCTGTCTAACCATATCCATTACCTGGTTCCGAGCAAAACAACCTGAAATATATTTATATACACTTACCAGTGGAGAGTGTAGCTTTCATACCTTTGACATCGGCAGCAGTTACTTGCTTACCAGTTCTCTCCTTAGTGCTTTCGATAACTTCATCTGCTGACTCACAGTGAAGTATTACGGGCTTCAAGTTCTCTTTTTCTTCTGACGATAATCTCCTTATCCATGGATCACATACCATCTATGAACTACTACATGGATGATTGTGGAGCATGTTGTAGGATTAGATGACATATCCTTGCTCCTCTAGTCTTACACGAAATTTAGATTGACAATTACGGAATTTAGACCTTAAACATAAGATATTAGTTAAAGATCTTACGATTTTTGCCTCACTTTCAAACCTTCCGATTTCCTCTTACGACCAAACGTACAATTAAACGATAGAAACAGGTATTTGAACCTGACATACTTCAGCAATCTGCTTTCTGTGTGGATGTAACGAGTATAAGTAGTCTGAGAAGCGATAAAATTATAATTCCATACTTTTTGGAACTCTTTTAAGGCGCTTTCAAAATCATCCCACAACACGAAACGCTTGTTCAGTATCATACTTCGAAAGGCATCGGTTAGGTCGACTGAAATGTCACTTGAGCATGAAGCACTAAAAACAGAAATGACTAATTATTAAAAGGTTATTCCTTGCAACAATAATAACCCAAGAAAATACTACGAATACTTAGGATTTACCTGTGACTTGACATTTCGTTGAGCTTTACTACAGTTATTGGGATCAAAGATCAAATTACAAAGCAGCAACAGAGCCAAAGTGTACACTACAAAACAGAGGACGCTAAATTAATGGTTTTGGTATTTATTTCGTGCTTTTTTATGTAGCATAAGATGACTTATATATGAAAAAACTTGATACTCATGCAATCCAACCAACCCACGGCAATTGAAATACGGAATGACCGCCTCTAGCCAAGCCGTTCAAGGTCGTTGAAACGAATGGGCGAGCACATTTCAAAAGGACCTAACGTTTAAACCTTGCCGCACATGCGTTCGTGGTTATCTAGTACTTCTTAATCCGATCACGTTATTTCTGGGATTCTTATTTCAGACTATAATTCAAATACTCCAAATTATCACGTTGGCGTCGTGATGGAGGCTGTGATGGAACGGTTGGATATACATTCAGATTTTGGTGCTTTTGCTGATTACTTGGAAAGGTTCAAAATTTGGGCTATGACCAGGCAAGATAATGAGGATGTTAATATTGTGGCACACTTCCTCACATTCATCGGAAAAGTAGCATAAAGCTTATTAAAAACTCTGGCTCTCAAGAAACTACTGCTAGATTATGTTAACTATACAAATTTCGATTGCGGTAAAGGAGGAAGATCTCGTAAAATGATTCACAAGGATATAAAAAATTCCACTGCATTACGTCACCTCAAACCAGTGCATACTTAAGGTTATGCAGATAATTCATTGAGGAGTTACGATGCAGTTCACGAAGATGGGAACAAGTTTGGTCAATGCTTATCCTGTGGCAGGTTCAACTATTTTAATTCATGTAAGTTTCGTAATTCTGAGTGCTTTAAATGTGGTGATGTTGGACATATTCAGTCAGTTTGTAATACTACTGTTCATCTTGCTGCAATGAATATTAAGTCTTATAATTCTGATTCTATTAAGTCTAGTGTTCCTAATGTTCATTTAGCCTTATCAACGATTTCAAAAGACAGTGTAGAGTCATATAGCAGTTCAGAGTTAAATGAAACTCAGAATCCTTGCTAGACAATAGTTTCTGATCAATCGACGTATCAGATTTCTCATGTTCTTGTACCAGATATTGTTTTTCCTAATGATTCATACACTTCTGATAAAATTCCTTACAAATCTGAGGAAAATATTTTGAATGAACTTAGTCATGATCGAAAACCTGATGTGGTTTTGATGGATGCTGATTTTGCTAATGATCCTTTACTCTGCAATGACATTCTTAATAAATTTGAGGAAGCTATTTCAGAATTATCAAATCATTATTTGTCCTCAGAATGCGTTTGTTTCTCGTGGGAAACTTGTTCAATGCGAAGCACAAGTACTAAATGACCTCGATTTTGATTACAATTCGGATGATTTCGTATCAACTGCTGTTTATCTTTATCACAAAAACACTAATGTTTACTCCAACCAATGTGAGAAATATGTTGTAAATGAAGCCACATCATTCATAAATTGGGGATATAGAGATCCATCATTATTTCATGGGGGAGGATAATGTAAAGTCTGTGGTTCAAATTCTATATAGAAGCGGTTTCAGTACACAACCGACATGCTGATTACACAATCCCAGGAAGCAGGTGAGTCTGTTCCGATTTCGGTTGTTAATTCTAATACTAATGAGTTCATTCCAGATAAGAGTTTTTATTCAATACAATGACGGACAGACATGGGATGAACTCGAGAAGACGTACAATTGATTAAAAACACCCAGACTCCAATTTGAGACGTGGCGGATGTGGTGTTTGAATGAACTAATGATTTCTTTGTACTTGTTGACTTCGAATTCTAAATACAGTACATTCGTTAGTGCTTATCTAGTACTTCTTGATCTGATTACGTTATTTCTAGGATTCTTAGTTCATACTACAATTGAAATAATCCAAATTATCACTTAACCACATTCACATTGTTGAAAATGGCATTTTCACAGTAAGTTCACTGTTTGTTGATTAGCTCCTGTCATCTTTAATTCGCCGTTTCTTTCCACTTCCATCAAGATCACATTTTGATGTTGCATGTACACATACGCGTTGTGCTCCACTGAAAATGTTGTTGAATATCAAATATTTACTGGACTCCTGTTTGTTTATCGAATTTTGTAACTGTTAAGGTTTGCAGCTGATTCCTGATGAAAGTCATCTTCACAAATCACTTACAAATTTCACAAGATCATTTTGAATTTATTATGTCAATACAGAATTCCCATTCTCCCTGTTCTACGGAAGAAGTAATTTTCAACTTCTCCAGTGTAAACATTTTATTGTTTTTACAGTTACATAAATGTGTACAGATCAACCACTGAGACCAATCTATTTGTAGAGGGCCTGCTGATTAGCTTTGAAATAAAACAAAAACCAAGTACATTAATGGGGAGTTGAAACATTGAATGAGTTAACTAATGCTGTTTACACAGATTCGACTGAAAGTATTGAAACTAGTTATTCTATATATGCTGATGAATATCATTCTCAAGAGTTTGTGTCTTCCAGTCATGGCATGGTTAATGAATCCTTGTTTCGAACGTTATGTAATTGTTTCAGATATAGCTGACGAGTATGAAATAGAACTGTAGTGGCATTGGACAATAGCCACACAATCCACAAAGCTGTGAACACGAGACTACTCAGAAAATAGATATTCAATATTTAACGCGGAGAAATACCTAACAATGGAGAAGGCGCGAACAATGAATTGAATGGACTGGAGTTGATCGAGTGGCATGGCTCGGCCATGCAGGCGTGGTCTCTATTCATATTAAATATATTGTTCCTTCTCTAACTTAACCTTGTCCTTCATCATGTATTGGTAATTGATACGATACAGTGAGTTGGCGTAGTCGATGGTGTGACTTCCACGTAAGATCTTATAGATTAGGCAGTTATATCATGACGAATCTACAAATTTAGGATTAGGTCTATTATTAGAGCAGTACTAATATCATATTAGACCATAATTCTACATTGGTGAGCCCAACTAAAGAAACGCAACCTATTATTATTAATCCTTATTTCCACTTCAACTTTCTCGATCGATTTTATATTTATGTTAACCCTGTATTCCAATAGTCCTCTGATTAATGCTCACATGCATTATCGTGATGTTATATTGATTAGTCCTCATGACAAACTAGCTCAATCGATAATAAAAACTTGTCGTCTATATTAACTAATTAGCTTTGATGATTTGTTAACAAGCTGTAATAGCATTTACATGCTTCAGCGACATAGTCTTGTTTAAACATCAAGCTCTAGCAAATATGACCTGTAAATAGCGTAAATATACATTGACTAACAATGCGATCAAGGACTAAATAGTTATCTGGATCTAATTCTCAGTGTTCCTTCACTTAACACCTCATCCTGTTTTAAACGATGCACTATCCTGTAATATCTTTTCTTCCGACCACTGCCTGCCTAATTTCATATTCTCGAGTTCCATTGCCAAACAACGAGGATGACTACTCCAAAAACATACGGTGAGTTCCAGCTATAAGTTTTCTGCAATCATAAGTTCATTTTAGATGGCACACACACAATTATCTGGATTCTTTCGATTGTTCTGATCAGAGCGAGTCCCAAAGACCTCAACAGCATCAAGCACCCTGGAAGTGATTGCCATACTGCATGTTTTATTCTGGATGCTTTTGGATCATTACTACTCCTCACGAATGGCGTTATATATGTCGTACACTGAATAATCTAATTTTCAAAAATAATCCAGGCGAGTTCAACTATTTTACTTAATGATTTTTTTAAATTAACATGTATATGTTTTCCGGTTCCTTTTGCTATATATTTGTAAGTGTCCCTAGGCTAAATGCAGTAACTTCTTATGGAATGTTTATAACACATCATATTCCTGCCTGAAGTTTCACAAGCAGTCTAAACTTTAAAATTATTTTCTGGTCATGTTCATTATTTTTAAATCGTCATATACGTCAACAACCTGCATGTTAACCTGGCCCATACATACGTTACACTATATCTCCATGTCTTATAAATTTAGAAATCATCTGGATCGCCTTTAACATTTATCAATAAACCCATCATAGTCGTTGTTGCTAATCGTATTTGGGTTTATGGATTGGTTTATCATATTAGCAGCCTAAAATGCGAACATAGTTTAGATAATAAGATTAAAAATTTAGGTACTATCAACTGCACTAGTGAAATAACTAAATCCCCAAGTAGCTGTTGGCTAAACAAACGTTTAAAATCAAAACTCCGTAGCCTACTAGAATTAACACTAAACGAATATTTCTGAATTAAAATTTATAATTAAATTAGGCGTCTCGGATTCTTTAACGTTATAAATTTCTGATAATTTCGAATCACCTAAATCAACAATACCTATTTTTCTACTGACTAATCCTCAATCAACACTATAACTAGCTAAACGTAATAGTTTCAGGATATCGTCATAAAGCATTGTCATAACTTGACAATCACGTAATATGACTGATAAAATTAATGAAACTATTAACGAAATCGGTCAACAAATTGACTTATAATTACCATTAATGGTGTTGTTTTTCTTTTATCTTCATTCACTACAGATGATTACAGTATGTTTCTCTATCAGTTGCTCATTCAGTAAATATCTCAAAACCTTGTCAGTCTAATTGATGGTTTAGCGACACAATCATGCATGCAAATAATCAGTATAAGCAGTCGAGCAAATCTCCTGCAAACTGAAAACATCAATGTCGAATTTACCCCAACACTGACTAAGGTTCAAGCCATTATCATAGACATGAGTTGGGAGTGTACTCCCCTTGGTTACAACTTATGTACTCCCTGATAATCACATGAGCATCAATCACTATTAATCATCTTGTAAAAACTTATTTAGTTAAATACATCTTGCAGCACC